TTTTCTAGTTGTACATTTATAACCATAGATACTGGAAATAGATAGTTAGTATCTGCGTGTACGGCCAAGCGGATGTACGGTACTAGCAGACTGTTTTTGTTGAAATACTTTAATGCATTAGGTTCTGATTTTTCTCTTTTTTTTTTTTGCTTTTCATTCAGAATGAAAAACCTTCAATCAAAATTAAGGCAGTGAATTTGTAGCAATAATAAAAAACTACTTATACAGCTTATTTGCAAGTTGAGCTGAGATTTATAATACAAAACATGAAAACTAAATGTTTGTAAATTTATATGAAATGCAAGTCATAAAGTAAACATAGGAATATGGAAAAAATATATAATCTTTTGTCTTTGTTTAGTTTCTGAGAACGCTAAAGCTACTATTTTTTCATGGGAGGTTTCTTGTGTCTTATCAAAAATATTTTCACTTCTTAAGATGTTTTTTGGCATAATTTTATGCAGGTATCAAGTTGGAGATTATACAGGACAAATTTTAGCAGAAGTGTCAGCATTAAAACATACAAGGCAACCTTATATTCCATTTAATAATCAAACTGCTTCTAAACATGACGTACGGGTAACCAAGCACAAAGTGAAGAGGCATACAGTAAGTATTAGAATAGATTTTGTATAGTTATTTAAGAAAATTAAATGACATTAAGCTATGTTATAATCTAAAGACACTTAGTTACACTATTACTTCTTCACACTATATATCCACGTGAGTTTCTGGATAGTGATCTAGTGAGTTTAAGTTTTGAAAACCTAAGCTGTTGGCATTCATTAAATCTTTACTTTAAAAGAGTAGTGAAAGTATTACTTAAAACATTAAATTATGTGTTAATTGTAATTATCTTTGTACATAATACTTGCTTTACTACATAGTTCCTTTCAAAATGTTCAGTAAATTTTTATCATTCACAATTCTTAATCTAAATGAGTTTTTAAACTTTTATGTTCATCTTTCATATTTTTGGGAAGGCTGTGATTCTTAACAGTAGGTGTACGTGACTTGTTGGCGATACATTTCAACAATAAATAGACAGCACATAATCCACTTGTTTTAAAATAATATATTCAAAACAAGTCTAATGTATGTACAAAAATTCTTTACACTATTGGTTACCACAGTTGTATACAGAGCTCTAAATAATTCTCTTTCATTTGAAGTTTCATGAAGATACTGTTGATACAAACTCTATAAAGTGAATTTTGTTCTGTGTAGCAGAATGAAGTAGATAGTTTTATGAAGATACTGTCAATAAAAACCCTATAGAGTGGATTTATTCTGTCTAGTAGAATGAAGTAGATACTAAGTTTCATGAAGATGTATTTTTATAATCCTTAAAGTACAAAGTTAGTGTGGGTACCTAACATTTTCCTTGAAGTATATAGTAAAAAACACATAATGTATTGAAATATTTAACATACACATTTAAAGTAGTAGCATCTACTAATCTTATAATCTTAAAATAATTATTTTATTAGAGAAGATATTCAAAACTTTCCATAACATTTAGTTTTCAGCATAGTTTGTCTTAAATTAACTACATAAAACAACAGTTATTGGAGTAATCAATTACAAACTTAATCAGTACTGTTTGATTTTAAAGGTATTTGAGAAAGTTAAGTTTTATGGAACTTAAAAATAGATTTATGATTGTTCATGACACTAAAATAACTTTGTTTTAAGAAGTGTGTGGGTGTGGTTTCTGCAGCTGAGTTATGCATGAGAGTATTCTATCAGTAAAAGGTATTATATCCTTAAGAAAGTGTGGTCATGTCACACTGTTTATAAGTGTGGTTTATAAAACATTTCTCAGAACTTAAGTTTTCAGTTGACATTTTATAACCATAGATACTGGAAAATGATTAGTTAAGTATATGTTTTTTTGGTGTTATTAGATGTCTATCTTTTTTTTTTTTAAATAGGACGAAGGAATACCCAGGAGAAAACGAGAATATATAAAGAAGAAATACAAACAAGAAACTTCTTTATCATTACGCCGACAGCTTTCATCAGCACAAAAGAATGATGCAGAAACAAGTTTTTCAGATGTACTTAGTTCCGACGATGAAGGCTTTTCCCCAGTAAGATGCTTGCAATATAGATTGTCATGACTTAAGTTTTTACTACCACTTGTAGTTCCACGGTAGTAAAACTAATCCACATTGACTGAACTTGGCTATTAAAATTAGGATTATTTGTTATAACAATTTAACTAGGTTAGTGCTCAATGGAGGGAAAGAGAAATATTGACTTTTTTTCCTTTTGTTGATAAAGAAGTGAAGCTGTGATTATACAATCTAAAACAATAAAATCTCTCCAAATATGTATATTATATACAATTAAATTTGTTCCTTACAAAATTATCTACTTATGGATTATGTATAATATAATGTTATAATAGTTGGAGACGGCTTGAATGGGTAAGCTTTTCTTCATTACCCATTCAAGCCGTCTCCAACCATTATTAGTCTCAAAGTGGGTTCCTCGTCATCGAATTTAAAGTAATGTTATGTCAAAATAATGAATATTAAAATACTTATGCTGACTAGTAAACATTTATGTAAACAAAACACTTTGTTTTTTAACTATGTAATATTTTTTGTGTTGTTTATTTAAGTTTAGTCCAAAGACATCATGTTTCTTTTAATAATTAATAAAGGTGGTATTTTGTGTGTGTGTGTGTCTCTGAGACATTTTATTTCACTAGAAAGGTTATAAGATAGAAAATAATTGAATTTAGTAAAAGAATCTGCCAGCTGAGAAAAGCTTAATTTAGTTTTATTTTATTCCATTCACTTAATGGAGTCTGACTAAATAAAGTTGTCAGACAACCAGCTAGCAAAGCTCATTTACGGTCTAGCCAGGTGTGGGCTAAAATAAACATAAGATAGACTAGTGGTTAAATTAATGTTTTAGAAGGTTTAGACCTTCAATTATAATAAAAGTAATATATTAATTAGTTTAATCCAGTTTTACTTTTAAAAGTCATTATCAATTAATTTTCAAGTTTTTTTTTGTACTTCAATTTATTATAAGTTACATGCCAACAACATACTTACTCATTAAAATATATTGCAATATAAAAAAAATGTATTAACATATTTTTGATTACAGGTCTATTGATTTATGTACCTGGTTGAAAATAATTTAATGTGTCCATTTTGTAGGCTACCTCACCATCAGATGTGGAGGATGACAATGATCCTGATGGACCATTTGCATTTAGAAGAAAGAAGTTTTGCAACTATCATGCAGTGAGTTTATAGTAACATCTGACATATATTACATCTAAAGTTCCATCTAAAATAATGACATGTTTGTCCACTAATAACTTTTGCATAATTTTCAACATAGCATTCATAATTTAAGGTGTGTTTCTGTTTCTGAGGTGCAAGTATCTGAACCTTAAATGTAAAACGTTGTTGTTTAAAAGCCTAAATATGTTGCTATTAAAATTGCTCTTACCTTAATTACCCTAATAATGACAATTTTAATAGCAAAAAAATGGATTTATTGTTTATTTAGCTTTCTGCAACTCATATTTTCATATTAAGTTTTGCTTTTATCAAATTGGCACTTATTGGATCCAATTAAGATATTGTTCTTCATGTTTGTTAAAGTGCTGGAAGTTTATCATGAAATATGCAGGAGTAGTATCCATATTTTTATTTTGGTTATTGTCACAAATCTCTTATTTTAAATGCATAGTTAGTTACTTTGGAATATGAGGCAGAAATCTTTAGTTTTTATTACAGTATTTGTTGGAATGTAAGTTACCTGTGTTAGCAAATAATTTTCAAGAAATGTCACATGAATAATACATGTTTCTATGCTACCGATGTCTATGTTTGTCTGTGGAAGAACGTTTACTTCTATCTTTTAATAAAGTAAATATGTAGAAATTGTAAAATCATTTCAATTTTAATGTCCCTCACTGCTTTGCAAAAGAGAGAGTAAGGCATATGATTTGCGCCTCTCCAATCGTCCATCTGTCCCAGTATTGTGGACAGGATATCTAAAGACTGGATGGATGGATTTTGATCAAACTTACAAAAGAGGTACTACATACAAATTTCTAGACTCAATTAACTTTTGAAAATCATGGGTCAAAGGTCAAGGTCAGTGACAATGGGGATACTTAAACATACAGTATAACATTAATGGGAGCATAGGTGTTTTATAAACACAACTTACATTTTTTTGCTTACTGCTGCTTGTACTTCATTACAAGGATTTTAGTGGCAAACCACTGATGGGTTGTCCGGGTGCTAGCACATTCAAGTATAGCCTATGTGATAAAAATGTTTACAACATGTCATTTTTTAAAGCTCTTTTCTTCACTTGTTCTTGGTATAGTTAAAATGTACAATTTAAGCTAAATGAGGAATGTTGATTTCTTCTTTCAAAACAAAATTCCTGGAAAGGCAGTGAAAACATACAAAAATAATCAATCTATGTATTTAATTATTAGGTCGTCAAGAAATTAATGTCACTTCTTTTAGATGAAAAAACTGGAACAACTTATATATTAAAACAAAACATTTATTAAATGAAATAGTCTCCATTCTTATTGATGATGCTTTTCCATCTTACAATCAGGTTGTGAATGCCCTGATTATAGAAATCACTTGGCTTTGAAGCAAAAAACATGTCGATATCCTCTTTAACATCTTCCACATTTGCATATATTTTCCAATTAGGATGGTGTTGCCACGAACGAAAAAGATGGTAATCTGATGGTATCATATCTGGAGAATATGGTGTGTAGGGGAGAACTTCCCAACCCAACTCAATAATCTTGTGTTGCGTCAAACGTGCCACATGTGGACATGCATTGTCGTGGAGAAGAACACCTTTCTGTTTGATGAGTGAAGGGCATTTCTGATGAGGGGCTTGATTTAAATGTTCCAGTTGCTGACCATAGATCTCTGCATTGATAGTTTGCTGTAGATTGAGGAGTTTGAAATGAATTTCTCCTTTGATGCAAATGGAGTCCAGGAGACGAAGCAACGTTCACACGTTGGAAACTATGATAAGCTGAGAATTCGTGAGGCACACAAACACCTTTTTTATAGAGTTTTCCCATATTCCTTAGATGTTTATTTATTGTTTCATGAGAGACATGCAATTTCAGGACTATTTTACGAGTGTATTGTCTTAAGTTAGACTCAACAACTGTCTTCAGAGCATCAATATCAATTCCAACATATCAGCCCCTGTGATCACAGTTTTTAAGGCTAAAGTCACCTGAACGAAATTTGCGGAGCCATCGTTGAAACTTATGAACGTTCAAAACATTTCCATAAACTTCTTTGATATTTTTTGTGGCTACAGAGACGTTGTTTCCCTTCTTGTATTCAAACAGTATCACATGCCAAATGTATGTCTTGTTATGTGCCATCACTATAAGGGATTAGAGTATACTCAGCCTTACACATTATATGGGTTACACTAATGTGACGTTTAGGTGGTTCATTTAACTATTATACGTGATGTATATTTGGGGGGGGGGTAATGAAAGTGTTCCAAAACTCGACATTAATTTCTTGACGACCTAATACAATAAAGCTTGGTGACTTTATAACAGTTGTCATACTTAAGTGTTAGTTTTCAGTTTTTGGTGAGCTTTTTTTTTTTTTAATTTGCCATCATTATGTTATTGTTTAGAGAAAAAAATTAAGAGAACAACAAAAAAAAATATTTTTTTGTTAATCATTTCATGAATTAGTGTTTTATCTTATAACTATTTCATTAATAGTTAAACATTGTTAAGCCTTACAATGTGTAACATACAATGTTATAAGGGCTGTTGATTTGTTGTTCAATCTTTAGCTTTCTTTACAATTCTTAAAAGCATGCACACTATTAATAACAACCATCAATACTTACATGTGAAACATATCTTAAAATGCCTTCAAGTTTCTGTAGTATAAACATGAAAGAATAGTCTGTACAAAACTTGACTCTGCTTCCTTTTTGCAAAAGCCTTTGAAGGAAAGACTGGGAAACTGGCCGTGGTGTCACCCTCAAGAAGAAGGTAAAGGTGATCATCGATATAGGTACTGCTTAACGTCATTACTATTTCCAAAAAGGAAATGTGTAGGTTTTGCAAGAAGGAGATTGGGCAGAGGTGGCAGGTAAGGAATAGCAGCTTTGTCTTAATCTTTATATACGTTTGTTTTGTTGAAGTTGGTGAGTGAGATAAACTGTTTTAATATAAGTATGAATAATTTGCACTTCTGTAAGTTTAAAATCCAATAAATAATTAAAATACAACGTTTCACTGTACACATCTAAGATATTTATAAAGCCGTCAATGGCCTCCACTTAAAAAACAATGTATGTTTGATTTTTCTATGTCATTTTCAGAAGTAACTTACAAGGCTAAGTTTTCAATATTCATACACTTGTTGCAAACAAGTCATGTGATATTGGATTCAGTGACCTGTGATAAATATAAATATTGAAACCTTAGCTTTGTAAACTGCTCCTGGAGAGAAAGTAGACACATTGAAACATGTACTTTTTTTTTTTCAGTGGAAGACATTGACAGCTTTAGTAAATAACTTTTAATTACATATAATAAATTGTTGTATTTGTTTGGTATTTATTAATTTCCAAAATAAACAATTTTATATTAAGATGTACATCAAAAGATTTTTAAAGTGTTGATATTAATATAAATTTTAAAGAACACAAGAATTCAACATACTAAAGATTATACAATAAAAATAAGTGACATTTTGTTTTTAGAATTTGTAGTTTTTTGTGAGTATATTTGACATGCAGTAAAAGTATTTTTAAAATTCGCCATACATCTCTTGATGGATGTGGATAACTTAATTTTAAGCTTTAATTTAAAATTAAAAATATATTAATTTAGATTTATGGAAAGCTATTATTTTGAAGTGAATTTTGATTAAGAGATTCACTATTTCATATTTGTTATTTTAACCTTTGAGCTCCTGTCTGGTTGAAGTGTATCCACTGTTACACCAAGTAATCTAAAGCATGTTGCAAAAGAAAAAAATATTGAAAAGAATATTAATAAATAGGTATTGTAACATAAAACTACTATTCTATTATCAATAACTTATTTTTAATTTGAAGATAAAGGTACAAGCTCAGTTAGAAAAATTTAATCTTATTCAACACAAATATATCACTGAAGTAAAAATGCAAAATTTTTTGTTTACACTTAGTCTTTGTTAGTTTAAAAATGTTTATTTATTGTAGGCAAAGCACAGTTAAAGCTGTAGCAGTTAGATGATTTATTAGTCTGACTGATAATGGGAAAAAAAGTTAAAACAATGTTATTATGGAACAGAAAGAAACAAGTGCTTACCTTATGATAACTTTGTTGCTTTTCATCCAATTTTTGCCTGAAAACCTATTATGATAAGCAATATTTTATTTTCGCTGTTTAACAAACATTGCAAAATTATTTGTTTAATTTCTGATACTATGTATCACAGTAGCAAATCATTGTTAATTTCAAGGCTTCTGCTTGATCGTGCCTGGACACCTTTGGATGACTATTGGAGCAATTTAGATGTAGAATTCAACAGTTCATTATCAAATGGAATTCCATCAAATACATTTTTATCAGAAGTTATAAATGAATGGTAAGTGCATTATTTTCTAAAGATGTCAAACAGAAGTTGTAAATGAATTGTAAGTTTATTATGTTCTGAAGATGTTGGAAAGAAGTTATAAATGAATGTTAATCTTCTAAATACAGGCCTGGCTCTTCTGTGAATTTCACAGTTACCTTCAAAATTTATTTAACTTTATTATCAGTTAGGTCAGTAAATTAGCATCAGGGTGTAGTTTTAATTCAAGTTTTTATATTATCTTATTATATTATATTTTAGTTATTAATTAAAAATATATATACAGACAATTCTCAGTTTTCATTTCTGTGTGCATCTTGTGATGCATCTGCTTTCTCAATTCTCCTTTTTTCCTTTGTATGCCTTTATTAGTACAGCAAATACACTGCTTGACTTTTCCTAGACACAGCTTATAACAATTCCAAGGTCCAGTGTTCAGGTTCAACATAATAACTTCTCCAGGTTCAACCTAATAACTTTGCCCTGTAGTGAAAAATATATCAATTTTCTCAACCCATGACAGAAGTCCCACCCATCTATACTTAAATGTTGAAGTAGTTTTCAAAAACATGTGCTCTAAGTTGACATACATGTTTTTGACCAATAGAAAAAGCTAATTTTAAACTTAAAGCTTTCAATGGTCATTTTCAAATTGATACCAACAACCTTTATACTAATACAGGATTTTATTGGGTACATCTTGGTATGCAAATTAGTGATCATACTATTTTACGATTATGTTTTTTTACCTTAAGTAGCTTAGTTTGAAATTTAGTTGTTTATGAACAACTGGTCCATCGGAGAGGAAAAAAAGGGCTGTCAAGAGGAGCATCGAAATGGATCCCAGATTAAAGACTGCAGAAGTGGCCAAAGTTGGTGGGATGAGCCCGAAATCTGTTCAACGGATTCTCCACAGATTGGGTTATCGTTGCAGAGCAGCTAGATGGAAGCCCTTATTAAGACCTGGCAACATAGTCAGACGAAAGAAGTGGGCAAGTGATATGATGACCAAGCTTCTGGACTTTTGGAAGACCGTATTGTTCTCAGACGAATCAAGATTCGC